ATGTAGGATCCCCTTATGCTTTTGTTATTGCTTTCTAATATATTGAGAATATCCTGTATAATCTTAATTCTTTGAAATTTATTGAGACTTGCCTTTGTAGCACTTGTGGTCAAACTTAGTACTTAGTCTGTGCTGAAAGATAAATGTATATTTTGATAAATGTGTAATTCTGTATATTGAGTGCATTTTCTGCATATGAACACTAGATCAAGTTTTAAAGTCATGTTTAAATCTTATTTATTTTGACAGATTTTTTAAAAATATAACTTTATTGATTCCAGAGAGAGGAAGGGAGAGGGGGAGAGAGAGATAGAAACATCAATGATGAGAGTCATTGATCAGCTGCTTCCTGCACGCCCCCTACAGGAGATCCAGTCTGCAACTGGGGCATGTGCCCTAACCAGGAATTGAACTGCAATCTCCTGGATCACAGGTTGACACGCAACCGCTGATCCACCCCAGCTGGGCTGAACTGATTTTTTTGTCTCGTTGTATCAATCATGGAATGAAATATGTTAAAATCATCCACAATGGTACTGAATTTGTCTATTTCTGTGTGTAGTTCCATCAATGGACCATTGAGTACAAATATTCAAGATTATTTTCTTCTTGGTGCCTTGAATCTTTTATGTTTATGAGGTTACCTTTGTTATCTCTGGATGTATTTTTGCATTAAAGTCTACTTTGTCTGATAGTGAGATAAAAAAATAATTTAAAAAAAGGAGACAAATTAGAATGACAATATGACATATCAAAACTTCTGGGATGCAGTGAAAGCAGTAATAAGAAGAAAGTTTATAATATTACAGGCCTATCTCAAGAAAAAAGAGAAATCTTGAGTAAACAGCCTAATATTACATCTTAAAGTACTAGAAAAAGAACAAAGGCAACTCAAAGTCAGTAGAAAGGAAATCATAAAAATTCGAGCAGAATTGAATGAAATAGAAAACAAAAAGACTATACATAAAATTAATACAACAAAGAACTGTTTTTTTGAAAAGATTAATAAAGTTGATAAACCACTGGCTAGACTCATTATGGAAAAAGGAGAAAAGACCCATATAAACAAAATCAGAAATGAAAGAACAGAATTTACCACAGACATCACAGATATATAAAGAATCATACCACCAAATTCAATAACCTAAAAGAAATAGATACGTTCCTAGGAATATATAACCTTCCTGAACTGAATCATGAAGCACTGGAAAATTTAAATAAACTGATCAGCAGTGAGGAAATTGAAACAACCATCAAAAACTTCCCACAATATAAAAGTCGAGGACCAGATGGCTTCACCAGTGAATTCTACCAAACATTCAAACTAGATTTGAAACCCATCCTTCTCAAATTCGTACAAAAAATGGAAGAAGCAACACTTCCTAACACATTTTATGAGGCCAATATAACCCTGATACCAAAATGTGGCAAAAATAACACAAAGAAAGAAAACTACAGACCAATATCTCTGATGAATACAGATGCAAAAATCCTAAACTAAATACAAGCAAATGGAATACAACAGTACATTAAAAAAATAATTTATCACGATCAAGTGGGGTTCATTCCAGGGCACAAGGACGGTTCAACATACACAAATCAATCAATGTAATACACCGAATTAACAAAAGAAAGGATAAAATCCACATGATCATATCAATAGATGCAGAAAAAGCATTTGATGAGATACAACATCCATGATGATTCAAACACTCAATAAAATAGGTATAGAAGGAAAGTATCTCAACATAGTAAAAGCCATATATGACAAACCCTCAGCCAATATCATACTCAATGGTAAAAAACTGAAAGCTTTTCCTCTAAAATCAGGAACAAGACAAGGACGTCCACTCTCATTACTCTTATTCAACATAGCTCTGGAAAACTTAGCACAGCAATCAGGCAACAGAATGAAATAAAAATCATCCAAATTGAGAAGGAAGAAGTAAAAGTGTCACTATTTGCAGATGATGTGATTCTGTATATAGAAAACACTAAAGACTCCAGCAAAAAACTGTTAGAAACAATAAACAGATACAGTAAAGTTGCAGGATACAAAATCAATGTACAAAAATCCATTTCTTTCCTGTATACTAACAACAAAACTTCAGAAAAAGAAATGAAGAAAAAAAAAATTCCTTTTGCAATTGCAACCAAAAGAATAAAATACCTAGGAATAAACTTAACAAAGAATGTGAAAGACCTATATACTGAAAACTACAAAGAATTGTTAAAAGAGATTGAAAATGACACAATGAAATGGAAAGATATTCTGTGTTCATGGATTGGAAGAATCAACATTGTTAAAATGGCCATATTACCCAAAGCAATATATAGATTCAGTGCAATCCCCATCAAAATCCCAATGTCATTTTATTTATTTATTTATTTACTTACTTATTTATTTATTTATTTTTTAAATATATCTTTATTGATTTCAGAGAGAGGAAAGGAGAGGGAGAGAGAGAGATAGAAACATCAATGATGAGAGAGTCCTGATCGAGCCTGCAACCCTGGCGTGTGCCCTGACTGGGAATCGAACCCCGATTGCCTGGATCCTAGGTCAACGCTCAACCACTGAGCCACACCTGGCCGGGCCCAATGTCATTTAAAAAAAAAATAGAACAACAGAATCATCAGATTTGTATGGAACCACAAAAGACCCAGAATAGCCAAAGCAATCTTGAGAAAAAAGAATGAAGCTGAAGGTATCACACTACCCGACTTCAAATTATACTACAGAGCTATGATATGAAAAATAGCATGGTACTGGTAGAATAATAGACACACAGATCAATGGAACAGAATTGAGACCCCAGATATAAAACCACATGTATATGGGCAGATAATTTTCAACAAAGGAGGCAGAAACAAGGGTGGAGAAAAGAAATCCTCCTCAATACATGGTGCTGGGAAAACTGGAATGCCACTTGCAAAAGAATGAAACTAGATTATAGTTTGTCCCCATGTAGAAAAATTAATTCAGAATGGATCAAAGACATACATAAAAGATCTGAAACAAAAAAGTTACCTATAAGAAAACATAGGTACTAAACTTATAAACTTGGTCATAGAGAACATTTTATAAATTTGACCCCAAAAGCAAGGGAAGTAAAGGCAAAAATAAATGAATGGGACTATATCAACTAAAAAGCTCTTGCACAGTAAAAGAAATCTATAACAAAACAAAAAGGCAACTGACTGAATGGGAGATGATATTCGCAAACAACAGCTCTGACAAAGGTTTAATATCCAAAATACATAAAGAACTCATAAAACTCAGCAGCAAATAAAGAATTCAATTTAAAAATGGGACCTGGACACTTCTCCCAAGAAGACATACAAACAGCTAACAGTTATATGAAAAGATATTCAACTTCACTAACTATTAAGGAAATGCAGATCAAAACTACAATGCGATACAACCTCATACCTGTTAGAATGGCTATTATCAACAAGACAGGTAATGACAAGTGCTGGGGAGATTGTACAGAAAAGGGAACCTTCATTCACTACTGGTGGGGATGTAAACTGGTACAGCCACTATGAAAAACAGTCTAGCGGTTCCTTCAAAAATTAAGACCAGAGTTACCATAGGACCCAGCAATCCCTCTCAAAAACAGGTATTTTCAAACATATATGCACCCTACATTCATTGCAGCATTATTCATGGTGGCCAAAACATGGAAACCACCAAAGTGTCTTTCAATAGATGATTAGATAAAGAAGATGTGGGACATATAGACAATGGAATACTACTCAGCCATAAGAAAAGATGAAATACTGCCATTTGTAACAACATGGATGGACCTTGAGAATATTATGCTAAGTGGAATAAGTCAGAAAAGCTAAGAACCACTTGACTTCATTCATATGTGGAGCATAAGACACAGACAACAATGTGGTGGTTACCAGAGGAAAGGGTGCAATGGGGTGGTTGTAGTTGGAGGGCCCCCTAACATATAGTGGGGAAGATGGTTTGACTTTGGGTGGTGGGCACACAGTGCAATACAGATTTTGTATCATAGAAATGTACACTTAAAATCTATATGATCCTGGTAACCAAAGTCACCTCAATAAATTTAATTTAAAAAATCTAGTAGACTCAGACAACAGCATGGTGATTAACAGAGAGAAAGGGGGTTGGAGGATGGTAAAAGAGGGTAATGAGGCGATTAATGGTGATAGTAGGAGACTAGACTTGTGGTGAACACACAATACCACATACAGATAGTGTATTATAAAATTGTACACCTGAAACCTATATAATTTATTAACCAATGTCACTCCAATAAATTCAATAAAAAATAACATAAAGCAAAAAATTAAAATAAAAAAAATAAAAGGAGTCTATTAGCAACGGAGGCAAGAAGGGCTTTGAAGGTGAGCCTAAGGAACTTGGGCTTTAGCTGGTCAATGGACACAAAGCTATATATTATCCCAACGGTACTAAAGAGCATCAGTGCCTCCTGCAATATTTTCTATTTTTTATTTTTTGTTAATCCTCACCAGAGGATATTTTTCCATTGATTTTAGATAGAGTGGGAGTCAGGGAGCGAGAAGAGAGAGAGAGAGACATCCGTGTGAGAGAAACACCTAGATTGGTTGCCTCCTGCACGCGCACCACCGAGCAGGGGAATCGAACCTGCAACCGTTGGTACGCGGGGCAATGCTAACCACTGAACCACGCCAGCCAGGGCGCTGCTGTATTTTCAACTGACGTGTTGCCATCCCTCTCCAGTTTCCGTCCAGCCGGAGGAGCTGGCCTAGATGTTTGATGGGCGCGATCGGTGTGATCCTTGGTGTCTTCCAGCGCCTTGGTCTCTGCCGCTGATTTCAGTTCTCGCTGCAACAGAAGCAGCGCTTAGCACTGGGTGGGGATGCTCCGGCAAAGCCCAGCACTGCACCGGATGTCCCGGCGGGGGAGGCGGATTTAGAGCGAAAGGAGACAAGCCTTGGGGACGAATCGCGCCGCGCAGTTTGACCCTGGCGGCGTTCCGTATCGTCGCGGATTCGGCGGCAGGAACATGGCGGCTGTGGCAGGCCGAGTATCGGTATCGGAGTAAGTTCCCAAGAGATTGGCCTGCCCTAATGTGTGCGGCCTCGGGCCCTCGACCTTACTCTGCTCCCGTCCCGAGCTGCAGGCACAGCCCCTAGGGCCTTGCCTTGCTAAGAGCCGATTCCGAGGGCTGAGAGAGTTTTGGTGGCAGCGGCCTAGTTGGGTATGGGGTAACGGGGTGGACAGCGGCCTGCGAGAGCTGGGGACAGACCCCTAGCTTGCGCAGCCGGCTGCCCCGGCCGCGGTAAGGATATGCGCCGCTGGAGAATTTGATGGTGGGGGAGGGGGCTAGGTGGAGAATGGAAGGTAGTATCACCCAGCCTTTCCCCACTCAGCTGGGCTCCCAGTTGCGGTCGCCTTATCCTAAAGTAGAGGGGTGGTTGAGAACTGCCAGGCTCCTCCGATCTCTCACGTTTAGCTAAAAGGAGTTAGGATGCAAGAAGAATTGCTATTGCTGCCCTATTGCCGAGGTATTTAATATTCGAGGCGCCATTCTCCTTTTATGAAATGGACCCAGAGCGTTATAGGAATTCACAGAACCGAAGCTTTGGGATTCACCGACCATGGCTGCACAGTATGGTTCTTTAAGGTTTTGACACTTCCCTTAGATGGAATGGAAATAGTTTCTGAGTTGAAGGATGAAGCTAGTAATAAGTGTGTCTTGGACCTCCTAGTGAGCCGTTTCCTAGAGGGTAGGGCGTGGAAAAGAACTTACTGATTTAGAGGAATTTGAATGAAGTGAAGGCTGGAGTAGGGCCAAGAGAGAAACAATCTAGAAATTCACGGAATCCCTTAGCTCTACTATTTACTAGCTGTGGGATATTAGGTAACTTGTTTATTTTCTCTGTGTATTAATAAGTGTTCCATGACTGATTGGCATTGTTATTAAGTATAGTTATTTCTGAATTAGTCTTTATTTCTTTAACAAGTATCTACTTGGTTTCAGACTTTGTGCAAGACACTGGGCATGTAGTATTTTTTTTTTTTTTGAATAAGTCTTTATTGATTTCAGAGAAAGAAAGGGAGAGGTAGAGAGAGAGAGAAACGTCAGTGATGAGAGTCATTGATTGGCTGCCTCCTGCGCTCCCCCTACTGGAGATCTAGCCAGCAACCTGGGCATGTGCCCTGACCGGGAATGGAACTGAGATCTCCTGAATCATAGGTCCATGCTCAGTCGCTGAGCCACACCTGCCGGACGTGGGCATGTAGCATTGACAACAAATTTTCAGGGACCTTGTGATCTAGTGGGGAATGCGGACAAGTGATGATCAGTATTTTCCTATTATAGAGAAAATACAGGGATCATATATATGGGTCATGGGTGGTCTTCCTAAGAAAATGATTTCAGACATGAAGAGTAGGTGTTAGCCAGGTGCTAGGACTGTCCTGGGGCAAGGAGGAGGGAAGGGAGTACACCTGGAGAGGGAATAGCATTGAAAAAATTGAAAGATTAGTATGGGTAGAATACAAAGCTCAAGAGGAAGGAAATTCACAAGACAGGAGAGCTGGTCACATCCAATGCAGAGAGCCTTATAAAGCATTTTAAGGAGTGTAGACTTTATTGCTAAGGATGATGGAAAGCCCTTGGAGAGTTTTACATAGCAGAGTGATGTGACAAATTTTGGTTTTAAAAAGGACACTTGGAGAGAAGCATAAGAGTGGATACAGGTCAAGTATGAGATGATGGTGACCAAAATTGGGATTTGGAAAGAAGTAGAAACATTTAAGAGGCGTGCAGGAAGAAGAGTGGTCAGTACTTGGTAAGGATTAAATATAGTTGGTGAAGGAGGGAAGCTTAGAGTAGTATACAGTTTTTATGAAACAGACTCTGGCCGTAAAGATTTCCCGTGTGCAAATTAACTCTTCTGTGCTCCATTTTTATCTGCCTCTCAAGTAATTCTCCAGTGATGGCTGACCAATTGGAAAGGATTGTAATGCTTTGTTGTTTTACTCTCTGGTTAAGGCTAATTGTCATTTGAAGAGTGTCAGAGTAGGAAAAAGATTTCTGTAAATTAGCCACTTAAGAGTAATATTCTGCCATGTTGATTTTGGTCCATAAAAGTGGCTGCATATGTTTCATTATGTGGATGTGCTGTACTTTATTTACATGCTTATATTTACTTTTTTTTCTAGATTTTTACTTCCATTGACAATGCAGAACTGAGCTAGTGCTCTTATTTTTATCAAGTAGATTAATATATATGTATTCTTAGGGGGAGATAATAATTGAAGACATGGAAATAGATGAGATTGTGCGTAGAAAATATATAGGAAAAAACATGCTCGTAGAAAATATGCTAGGAGAAAAGCGTAGGTTTGGAATTGAATGTCTGAAGGTTGAATTGAGAATGAACAGCCTGCAAAGAGACAGAGGGGAGATCAATAAGTAAGGAAGAAAATCTGGAGATTGGTTTTTGGAAGGTAAAGGAAGGACAGGTTTCATGAAGTGAGATGCGTCAGCAGTGTCAAAGGTTGTTCAAAGAATGTGCAGCTTAATGAATGAAAAGTACCCAGTGGATTTGTCAACATAAGAAACATTCAAACCTGTAGAAAATATTGTGTTTCTTTGAGTCCAACTGTCGACAGTTTCTGGGAAGCAAAATCAATGGATTGAGAAAATGGCAGTTTTGCATCTTATTTTATTTATAATCAAAAGAGAAGACTGATGTGGGTTATGTGAAATCCATTGGTGGTAGATTAGGGAGGCAGGAAAAGGCAACGTGGGGGGGGACCTCTGGGATTGGATAAAAAGTAAAATGATAGACACATACTTTTACATAGGTGGGTACAGGATAGTTAACAGTCAACAATTAACTCTGTAACAATGAGGGGATTTGTGATCTCCACTCTCATGCAGTACCTGTGCTTCAAGGGGTCCAGAAAAAAGGAAATGTAGGCATTCTAAAGGTATGTTATTGTAGATGCAAACAGACAATAGACAGGCTTAACTAAGGTGAAAATTGACCTTTGTCAGGGAAGATTCTAGCCTAGGACATGACTACCCACCATAAACTGCTTTTAGTTAATAAGTTTTAATTTTAGATCATCATCTATGGTTATTTTAAGTCTGTAAGGCTGCCATGCAGGCCTTTCCTGAGCTTGTGAGGTTTAGTATCTGGCTCCTTTTCCTCCATAGATTTAGGAATTTACTGGCCATTTCAGTACTTGGCAGAGCAGTTTATTGTTGTGGGGTAGGAACCACAGTTTAGTGGTGTGAAAAGTGATGCAATCATTAGCTGTGGAAAGCACAGAAGATTGAATTTGGAAGAGGAGATGGGGATGAGTGAGTATTGTTTTTGTTTTGGTATTGTTTCTGAAAAGAGCTTTGCAAATATTTTAAGTTCTAATTAATAACAAGAGTGGGAGTTTGAAGAGAGGAGAGAGTGTGAAGTTCTGATAGAGGCTGAGGGGAAGGGATACATAGTACGTCTGAAAGATTTGGCCTCAGATAGGGAAGGGACACCCTTCTTTCCTTGTATCCGGGGATATAGGTAGAGGTGGGTTTGTGGTGTTGGAAACTTAAGCGAATTCCCTTCTGATTATTCTGTTGGAGGCAAAGTCATCTGGTGAGAATGCAGTGGGAAGTGGGTGTCAGAGATTGAGAGGTTTGGATGATCACTGAAGGGAGAGAATATTGACCAGGGAAACACCAAAGGATGCCTGTGGTTGAGTGACAACCATTTAGCTTAGTGTGTAATTTTTTTCCCCCCTCCAGCAGTGTCCAATCATCTGAGCCCAGGCCCTTTGACGATTGAGTCTTTGAGGATATATATTCCAACATATTTGCTGACTGTATAACACAGAGAAGTGATGTTAGAAAATGCAATACTCTCTTTATTTTATCAGTTTCTCATACTTAATTAAATAAAAGATAAAACCAAAATTTACCAATGGAAGATATTTGCTGTAGAGGTGTGTGATATCTTAAATAAGAAATTATTGAATGAAAATATAATTGAGGAAAATCAGTTGCAACACTTAAATAGATTTAGCTGTAAAAAATCTACTTATTGAACATGTAGAAGTAATAATTCTTGGAGCCTCTCAGGCACCCTAATGCTGTCATGCAGTGACATTCTTCTCCAGCCAAATGGGTAATTAAGGGTTCATTCCAGGTTATGTCATGTTTCTGTTGGGTCTGTTTTTAGTGTCCTGCTATTAAGTATAAATAAGCCCTGGCCATTGTAACTTGGTTGGGCTTCATCCCATGCACTGAAGGGTTGCCAGTTCAGTTGGATCCCTGTTGTGGGGCATGCAAAAGGCAGCCGACCCATGTTTCACTCTGACATCAACGTTTCTCTCTCTCCCCCTTTCCCTTCCTCTCTCTACAAAAAAATAAAAAGAAAGTATAGATAAGCTGATCACAAAGTAGTTACTTTTTGAGTTTTTATTTGCTTGAGTTCTCTATGGATATTCAGTGTGACCATGAGCCAATGCATGGATCAGTTCTTTGGAAACAGTATACTAGAAACATTAAGGAATTACCTAGTAAATAATTTAAACCATTATTTGTCCACTGTCATGTTTTAAGTGAAACTTGTGGGGCACTTAAAATTGCATAATTATCTGGTCCTTTAACAAATAATCGTTGTGGTAACTTTTTTAAAGTAAAATTATGTTTTTAATTTACTTTACAATAACATTTCAGTTTTTCAATTTTGACTAGAAAGGTCAGGAATTGGTTTGCTACAGAAATAATACTTAGATTTGGAAAGTAGGTTTGATAATCAAAGTAATTTAGTAGAGGTAAAAATACAGGGAGAATTATGCGTCAACTTTAGGGACTGAATAACTTTAATATAGTTAAACTTTGCTTATTGAAAGTTTATTAGTTAAACAATGTAAAGACTAAGATTTTATAGCATTTTATAGCTGTCTTGTAATAAGATGTAGAGGATTTTAGGCAGTTGCTATTATTGGATACTGGTGCTTTTCAAATTAGAGGTAATGATCAAGTCCCTCATTCTGTTTAAGATCTAAGTAGCTTTTGATTGTGCCAAACTGATCTTCTGCAGTCTAAGCTAAGCTGAATGTCTTACATTTGCACGTTGAAAAACCAAATATTGGTGTAAGAATTAACTAGGCAAATTTCTTAACCACCTCTGGAAAAAGTTTCATTGATGATCATTTAGTCGTACAATCCTAGCATATGATGAGTGGAGAGCACAACCTTTTTGGTTTGGATAAACTGCTGAATTTTTAAGCCAGAGACAATTACCATTAAGATACATGCAAGTGACATTTTAAACTGGGTTTTAGAAGAAACTTTATTTCTCACTTATTCATTATTTTTAATGAAGAAGCTACATGTGAAAGGTAAATTATATAAAAGTAACAATGAAATATTTTTTCTTCTTTTTAGATCACTAAACAAAAATTCGACCAGAGAAAATAGGAGTTACGGATACATGGGATTTGCTGGATGAAATATAAGCAGTTAATTTTTGTAACGTGGGAAGAAATCCCAAATTGCCAAATTACATGTGTAAATCACTGCGTTATTGCTTTAGTCATTGTCTCTATTTAGCAATGACAAGACTGGAAGAAGTAAACAGAGAAGTGAGCATGCATTCTTCAGTGCGTTATCTTGGCTATTTAGCCAGAATCAATTTACTGGTTGCTATATGTTTAGGTCTTTATGTAAGATGGGAAAAAACAGCAAATTCCTTACTTTTGGTAATTTTTATTCTTGGTCTTTTTGTTCTTGGAATTGCCAGCATACTCTATTATTATTTTTCAATGGAAGCAGCAAGTTTAAGTCTCTCCAATCTTTGGTTTGGATTTTTGCTTGGCCTCCTATGCTTTCTTGATAATTCATTCTTTAAAAACGATGTGAAAGAAGAATCAACCAAATATTTGCTTTTAACTTCTATAGTATTAAGAATATTATGTGCTTTGGTGGAGAGAATTTCTGGTTATGTCCGTCATCGACCCACTTTACTAACCACAGTTGAATTTCTGGAACTTGTTGGATTTGCCATTGCCAGCACAACTATGTTGGTGGAAAAGTCTCTCAGTGTCATTTTGCTTGTTGTAGCTTTGGCCATGCTGATTATTGACCTGAGAATGAAGTCTTTCCTAGCTATTTCAAACTTAGTTATTTTTGTAGGCTTATTGTTTTTCTCCTCATTGGAAACTCCCCAAAATCCAGTTGCTTTTGCATGTTTTTTTATTTGCCTGATAACTGATCCTTTCCTTGACATTTATTTTAGTGGGCTTTCAGTGACTGAGAGATGGAAACCCTTTTTGTACCGTGGAAGAATTTGCAGAAGACTTTCAGTTGTTTTTGCTGGAATGATTGAACTTACATTTTTTATTCTTTCAGCATTTAAACTTAGAGACACTCATCTCTGGTATTTTGTAATACCAGGTTTTTCCATTTTTGGGATTTTCTGGATGATTTGCCATATTATATTTCTTTTAACTCTTTGGGGATTTCATACTAAATTAAATGACTGCCATAAAGTATATTTTACTCACAGAGTAGATAACAACAGCCTTGATAGAATCATGGCATCCAAAGGGATGCGCCATTTTTGCTTAATTTCAGAGCAGTTAGTTTTTTTTAGTCTTCTTGCAACAGCAATTTTGGGAGCAGTTTCCTGGCAGGTAAGCTTATAGTTTGTTTATTATGTCAATGCCTATGATGTGTGATTAAATGCTTGCTTCAAGTGTTGAATTATTAGAATTGAAAGGTCAAGTTCCTGATTTCATAAGGACATTCTTTTTTATGGCACTTAATTTTGTTCATGAAATTGAAGTACTGAATGAACATTGATAGGATAATTTAGTTTGATATCTAGCAAAGAGGTACCAGAATGTTAGGAATACTCAACATGTGATATGCCTCTCACCTTTTGCTTGTTCATTAATGAAGCACTCATAGATTAAAGATTCTTAGAATATTAAAATTTGAAGAATGTTTAGAGATTGTACTTTAATTCTTTTATTTTTATACATGAGGAAACTGAAAGCCAGAGTCACAGGTAATAGCCAGAACCAGGTTACCTAGCCTCTATGTAGTACACTCGTCTCCTTACTACAGCACATTTCATTTACATAGCCATTTCTCTAAAGATTTTATATAAAAGATGATTAGATATATAATGGCATTTCAAGTACAGATTAAAGACTCTCCTAAGAAAGAAAAAAAAACAGTTTTACAGTACATTTGCTGTCTACAGAATGTTAACAAAGACATTTAAACTGTGTGGTTGGAGTTTATATCTAGAATATTAATAAACCCAGTCTTCCATTCTTGTAACATTTGTTGACTGAGCTATATGTCATGTACTACTATACTGTGTTGATCTCAAGATAACTAAGAAATACCTCGTCCTTAAAGAAGGCACAGTCTTTAATGGGATGGGGAATAGGAAGGCATATAAAAAACAATTATTACAGTGACAAATGCTATAATTTGAGTACATCAGGTTGGGATGTAAGGCATAAAGGAAGGTCACCTCTGGTTGTTGCATTTCTCTGGTTTGCACCAGTTAGTTGCTAAAGAATGATTTCTAGATGTATTTGGAGGGAGATGTGGAGACTTAACCTGGGTCTGGTGCTTTTTATTCAATGTGGGCTAGATGAGGGAGCCTGTGTGGATGTCAGCCAAATGATGTAAACATTGTGGGTGTTGCCCAAGAATATCTTCCTCACTTTACTTGCCAGTGCTAGGGACTATCTGGAGGATGATGATGATGGTGGTGATGATGATGGTGATGATTTAGGATAATGTGGGAAACTCTTTATCAAGAGTTCTCCTTCCTCTTCCTCCCCTCTCAAAGAGTTTACTACCTATGTTTTCTTCTAGGAGCTTAATGGTTTCAGATATTACATTTAAGTTTTTATTTTGAGTTTATTTTTGTACATGGTGTAAGAAAGTGGCCCAGATTTTATATTTTTGCATGAATCTGTACAGTTTTGCCAACACCATTTATTGAAGAGACTGTCTTTTCCTTACTGTATAATGCTACCTTTTTTGTTGTAGACTATTTGACCATATAAGTGTGAGTTAATTTCTGGGCTTTCTATTCTGTTGCATTGTGCCAGTATCATACTGTTTTGTAGTTAGCTTGAAATCAGGGAGAGTGATACCTCCAATTATGTTCTTCTTCAACAAGATTGCTTTGGGAACTTTTGTGGTTCCATATAAATTTTAGGATTATTTGTTCATTGAATTTGTAATTGCTTGGGTAGTAAGGATATTTGAATGATATTAATTCTTCCAGTTTGTGTTGGTAGATTCTTCCATTTGTGTTGTCTTCATTCTCTTTCTTCAGTGTCTTATAGTTTTCAGAGTGGTTAAATTTATTCCTAGGCTCTTTTTTGCGTGCAACTATAAATGGATTTGTTTCCTTAATTTTGATTTCTGATAATTCATTGTCGATGTACAGAAATGCCTCTAATTTCTGCATGTTAATTTTGTATGCTGCAACTTTACTGAATTCATTTACTATGATAGTTTTTTGGTGGATACTTTGGGTTTCCTACATATAATATTAGGTCATCTGTGAATACTGTCAGTTTTACCTCTTCCTTTCCACTTTGGGTGCCTTTCATTTTATTTTCTTGTCTGATTTCTGTGGCTAGGACTTTCAATAGAATGTTGAACAAAAGTGGTGCATATGGGCATTCTTATCTTAATCCTGATTTTAAGGGAAAATCTTTTAGCTTTTCACCACTGAGGTGATTCTAGCTGTGGGTTTGTCATATATGACCTTTATTAATATGTTCCCTCTATTTCCACTTTGTTGAGAGTTTTAAGCATAAATGGACGTTGAATTTTGTTAAATGCTTTTTTTTAAAATCTGTTGAAATGATCATTTGATTTTTATCCTTTCTTTTGTTAATGTGTTGTATTACATTGGTTGGTATGCAAATATGATTGGTATGCAGCTATTGAACCATTCTTGAATTTCTGGAATAAATCCCACTTGATCATAGTGTATGATCCTTTTAATGTGTTGAATTTGATTTGCTAATATTTGAGAATTTTTGCATCTTATGTTTATCAGGGATATTGGCCTGTAATTTTGTTATTTTGTAGTCGTTGTCTTGTTTTGATATCAGGGTAATGCTGGCCTCATAGAATGAGTTTGGAACAATTCTTTCCTCTTCAGTTTTCTAGAATATTTTGAGAAGGAGAGCTATTAATTTTCTTTAAATATTTGATATAATTCTCCTGTGAAGCCATCTGTTCCTGGACTTTTGTTTGTTGAAAGTTTTTTGATTACTGATTCAATTTTGTTACTAGCAATTGGTCTGCTCATATTTTTGTCTCTTCCTGACTCAGACTTGGAAAATTGTATGTTTCTTGTAATTTGTCTGTTTCTTGTTGGGGTATAGCTCAGAGTATTCACTTTTGATCCTTTGTATTTCTGTGCCTTGGGTTGTAATTTCTGATTTTATTTTGCTCCCCCTTTTTTTTTTGATGAGTCTAGCTAAATGTTTAAAAATCTTGTTTATATTTAAAAAGAACTGGCTCTTAGTTCACTGATGTTTTCTATTAATTTTTACTCTCTATTTTATTTCCACTGTGATTTTTTTTTAAACAAATTATCTTTATTCTTGAAAATATTACAGATGTCCCCTTTTTACCCCCATTGATCCCCTCCACCCTGCAGCCACACCACCCTGAGGCCTTCCCCAGACCAGTGTCTGTGTCCACTGCACTGTGATCTTTCTTTAATTTTCTTCCTTCTACTAACTTTGGGCTCTGTTTGTTCTTTTTCTAGTTGCTGTTGGTATAAAATAAGAATGTTTATTTGAAATATTTTTTGTTTATTCAGGTAGGCTTGTATTGCTATGAATTTCCTTCTCAATTGCTTTTTCTGTGTTCCATAGATTTTCGGTCATTGTGTTTCTCTTTTTATTTATCTGAAAATATTTTTTTATTTCCTCCTTAACCCATCAATTATTTATGAGCAAGTTGTTTAGTCTTTACTTGTTTGTTATTTTCAGTTTTTCTTTGTAATTGATTTCTAGTTTAATACTGTTTTGGTTGGAAAAGATGCTTTAAAAAGTTTTTTTCCAATTACATTTAACTTACAATGTTATATTAGTTTCAGGTATACAACATAGTGATTGGACAATTATATAACTTATGAAGTAATCACCCCAATGAATATGATACCATACATAGTTATTAGAATATTATTGACTATTTCCTATGCTGTACTTTACATCCCCATGACTGTTCTGTCACTACCAACTTCTACTTCTTAATCCCTTCACCTTTTATACCCAGCCCCCTGTCCCCCCTTCTGACAACCATCAGTTTATTCTGTGTCTATGAGTCTTTTTCTATTCTTCTTCTTCATTTATTTTTTTATCTAGATTCCACATATAAATGAAATCATCTGGAATTTGTCTTTCTCTGTCTGATTTATTTGACTTAGCATAATGTTGTTTAGGTCAATTCAGTTGTTGCAGATGGCAAGATTTCATTCTTTTTTATGTGTAAGTCAATTTTGTTTTTTCCCCTCACCCAAGGACATTTTTATCCATTGCTTTTCAGAGAGAGTGGAAGGGAAATAGAGATAGAGAGAAACACCAATGTGAGAGAGACAAATCAATTGGTTGCTCCCACTCGTGCCCTGACCCCAGGGCCGGGGATCCAGCCTGCAACCAAGGTATGTGCCATAGACCAGAATCAAACGCAGGACCCTTCAGTCCACAGGCTAATGCTCTAACCACTGAACCAAAGCCGCTATGTCTGATCAGTTTCTTTTGTGTGATAAATTCCACATATAAGTGAGATCATGTGATATTTATCTTTCTCTAACTAGATTATTTTGCTTAGCATAATGTCTACATGTCCAGCCACATAATATTCCATTGTGTAAATGCACCACAGTGTTATTTATCCATTCATCTACTGATTGGCAGTTGGGCTGGTTCCAGATCTTAGCTATTGTAAATAGTGCTGCTATGAACATAGGAGTGTATATATTCTCTCTGATTGGTGTTTCAGGTTTCTTAGGATATATTCCTAGAGGTGAGATTACTGGGTCAAATGGAAACTCCGTATTTAATTTTTTGAGGAAACGCCATACTGTTTTCCATAGTGGCTGCCCAGTCTACATCCCCACCAGCAGTGTACCTATGGTTCCCTTTTCTCCACATCCTCCCCAGCACTTGTCATTTGTTGATTTTAGCCATCTAACAGGTGTGAGGCGGTAACTCATTGTTCGCATCTCTCGGATAATTAGTGACTTTGAACATTTTTTCATATGTCTCTTGGCTATTTGGCCTCTGTGGAGAAGTGTCTATTCAGGTCCTCTGCCCATTTTTTCATTGGTTTGTTTTCCCTTTGTTGAGTTGTATGAATACTTTATATATTTTGGAAATTAACCTCTTATCAGATGTATCATTGGCAGTTATGTCCTTCCATACAGTGGGTTCTCTTTTCATTTTGATGCTGGTTTCTGTTGCTGTGCAGAAGCTTTTTATTTTCATGTAGTCCCATTTGTGTATTTTTTCCTTTATTTCTCTTGCTCAGGCGTTGTATAAGCGAAAATTCTGCTACTTGAGGTGTCTGATATTTTGCTGCTGACATAAACTTCTAGGATTTTTATGGTTTCACGATTTACATTTAAGTCTTCTAT